GGTATTTTGTACCTGTACATGGCATATCTTAAACCTTCATACTTCCCTTTTCTGTCTCCTCTGGCCCCCAGTCTCCTGGACCCCTTTCCATTTGCAAGAGGTCTATCTCCTGTTTCCTTCTATCCATCTATTCCTTTACTCTTTGTACTTTGCCTTATTCAAATGAGAGCGATATCGTATGGCATTTAAGTTTATATGTCTGTTGTATTTCACTTAACATTATATTTTCCTGCATCCATTTTCCATAGTGGTTGCACTAGTTTATGAGCCCATAAGATCATATCAATGGATGTGGAAAGAGGGCTTTTGACAAAATCCAACACCTCGCCTGAATAAAATAGATACAGAAAGAGCATACCTAAATTCGATAAAAATTATGAGAAACCAGCAGCTAACATCATGTTAAAACTGAAAGCTTTGCCTCTAAAATCAGGAATAAGACAAGGATGCCAACTGTCACCATCTCAAGTAATTGAAATATTAGCCAGAGCAATCAGAAAAGAAAAAGAAATAAAAGGGATACATAAAGGAAAGGAAGAACCCAAATTATCATTATTTGCAAATGAAGTGTTGCTCTACATAGATGACCCAAAGAATTCCACCAAAAACATCTTGGAATTAATAATCAATTTCAGCATTGTAGCAGAATACAAAAAAATGCAAAAATCAATAGCATTTGTGTATACCAGTATGGACTCAGTGAGAAAAACATTATGAAAATAATACTATTCAGATTAATATCAAGAAAAATCAGATACCTAGGAATTAACCTAACCAATGAAGTGAAAGATCTCTACAACAAAAACTACAGTATGCTGAAAAAGGAGACTGAAGAGAACATCAGAAAATGGAAAGATGTCCCCTGCTCCTGGACACGCAGAACCAGTATTATTTAATTGGCTACACTCCTTTAACTGTTGAACAGATTCAATGCAATCCCAAACAAAGTACCAGTGTTCTTCACAAAACTAGGGAAAATAATCCTAAAATTCATATGGAACCAGAAGAGACACAGACTAGCAAAAGCAATGTTGGGCAAGAAAAGCAAAGCAGGAGGTATCATGATACGTGACTTCCAAGTATACAACAAAGCAACAGTGATTAAAAATGGCACATACTGGCACAAAAACAGACACGTGAATCAATGGAACAGAAGAGAGGATACAGAAACATCTGTCATATTTCAAAGTTACCTAATAGCACATTTTTTCTGTGGCAGTAGCCTATAGATGGAGTTTTTTTTTTTTGCATGTTTATTGGTCAGCTTTGTCATCACAGGGACAAAATACGTGACATACACAACTTAAAGGAGCAGAGGTTTATTTTGGATCATGATTTCAAGAGACGTCCATGGTCAGCTGGCTGCAAATCAGAAATACCATGGCAGAAGATCCTGGCAGAGGATAGCTGCCCAATCCATGGCAGCCAGGAAACAGAGTAGAAGGATCTAGAGAGAAGGGGGTGGGAGGGTGACACCAGTGCCTACCTCTTCCTGCACTCAAAACCTACCTTCACTTTCACCTATGAACTCATCATATGACTAATCCACTAATAATATAGTGCCCCCATGACCAATCACCTTGCGAAAGTTCCACCTCTGACATATGAGAGTTTTGGGGACATTTTAGATGTAAACCATAATATAAATGTATATATGACATAACATAGTCATTGTATATAGCTGATGTGCATATGGCATAGGGATGTGCACAAGTGCAGTAACTTCTAAACATATCTTAAATATCTGTCCAATATAACGATGAACTAGTGAGCCAATAAACCAGGGAAAAGTGAAATAAATTGGGGAAAATGGTTATGTTTGTATTTATCATATCATTAAATGCATAATTTGAAAAATAAATGACTGGTTATCAATCTAGTCCTTTATTTTAATAATTAGAAATGCTAGCAAATAATGATGTTACTAATTGAGATACCAGTTTCGACAAGCCCTTACTTATTTCTCTATTAAGATAGCTTCCTGAAAGTATCTCAAGTTAATGAATTGCATGTTAATTAAATTTGAACTTTTCTCCTCTAGTATTCAAATGGGAAAAACCAAAATATGTTCTATTCCAATTGCTTTATACTGGATTGGGCATTAATTGCAATATAAATATAATATATGATAATGTTATACATAAATGTTATAAGAAATGTGTAGCATTTGGAATGAAATTTGCTAATTTTGAATACTGATTTATCTTTTAAGTTCATTTTGTTCCTGAAAATTAAAATGCTAAAGTAATGTTTTACTGGCATTTCCTAATTAACCAAGTTAAACTTTCTATGAAAAATTAATTCTCATCCAACTAACAAATGCATTCTGTCTTTCTCTTCTCTTGTATTGTTAGCCTCTTAGCAAATATCCTGCAATGACAAATGACATTTCCTTCTGGTTGCCCTCTGAGAATTATGCAGAAAATGACTTCTATGACTTAGTCCGAACCATTGGAGGAGACCTGGTAGAGAAGGTTGATCTCATAGACAAGTTTGAACATCCAAAGTAAGTGAAGAGTTTCCTGATTTTGTCCTCTGCTGTCTCTGTGTAACAAATAGCATGTGGTAAGACAATAGAACCAAGTGTACCTGAGACAACATGTCTTCTAAATTTATAATGAATGGATGACTTGTGAGAAAACTCTTAATCACTGCCCTCTGAAAGTCTTTCTAATGTGCATTTTTATTCTTTCCTGCCTTCTTAGTAAAGGAAGTGTATGGAACAGAATGTTTTAAAGATCTTGCCATTCTCAGTATTGCCTTTGGAAGTGATTTCTTCCCAATTGCTTTGTGGGTGCAAAGGAGCTGAGGCAGAGAAAGTGTGGTTTGTAGAGGACATGCTGTTTTGTCAGTCTCGCAATGCACATTTATTAAGCACTTCCCACGTGCCAAGATCTGTGTTAGGTCTCAGAACTTCAGTGGGTTCCTAGTGGGCTTTGTTCTACCTTCTTGGAGTTCACAGTCTCATGGGAGAGGCAGACATTAAATAAATCATTACACAAGTAGTGTGAGGCGAAATGGATTGGCTGTAACTAAGAACTCATTTCTGTCGGGAGGCAGGGCAGCCCTCGTTGGATTGCTGAAGTGGAGGAAAGGAAGCATGGCAGACTGTGACGAAACATTGCAGAAAGCAGATATAAATCTTGGGGGATGATTGCACATGCAAATGTAGGCATAGGTGGCAGTGACATAGCTCAAGGAGCAAGGGAAGGTGGGTGAAAAGAGGTGACTGCTGGGGAGAGATTTGTCCGCGGGGCTAGGCAGGACCAGACCATGCGAGGTCTGGGATTTGGGATTTGTCCAGACTACAGTTGGATATCCCGGAAGTAATCCAGTTACCCCTCTAATTTATCCCCTTTAAATGAGCCATGTGGCTCCCCACTGTCAGAGAAGGAGAAGGGCAGCCACCACATCTTGTCTCGCCTTCACCTTCATTCTCCCCTGGCTTCCTGACTTTACACTGTGTCCTATCTACATGGCCAGAGCATCTGTGCATCTGGGATACAATATGGGTTCCATATTCAATCCTGTCCTGCTTTGTTTTATGAACTCTTCTTTCCCTAGATAAAGATGTTTAGTGCCCATGGCCAGGTCCTTGCTTCAGTTTTCTCACTTACCTAGGTGGCTGAATATCATCTAGAAATTTGCTCAAGGACTTGTGGAAATAATAACCCATCTTAGTCACTTTCTCTTCAGTGGGACAAAAGTAACGGACACCCACGACTTAAAGGAGGAGAGTTTTATTTTGGCCACATTTTCAGTCTATGGTTGGCTAGCTGCAGGGCAGGAAAGCTACTCACTGCAGATTGGCCAGGAAGCAGAGAGAATAAAGGAGGAGCCATGGAGGGAGGTAAAACCTTCCAGGTTACAGCTACAGTTGCCCCTCCTCTTCTGTCCAGGCTCCACCTCCTCCTATTTCACAGGCTTGATCTTTTTACTTTTCATCCCGAAAGACTCTTTTCTCGCCTTAAAAGTTGAGTAACTTTATCAGGATACTCCTCAATGTTGACCTGCTCCTCCTGCTATATTGCTGTCTCACAAATCAGATTTGATTTTGCATTGTTTCAGGGAAGTTTTCTTGAATCCTATTTTAAGAATGTATTTTGGTCCTTTTCATCCTTTGGGGATCCCAGTAATCTTTGTCTGACTCTGTACCTATGACTGCTCTCTAACATTTTAAATCTTTTTATTTCTACTCCAGTTGATGTACTTTCCTCCCTTTACTTCTCTTTCTCTTCTTGCATTTTCTCCTGGTTCTCTATTCCTCTTCAGACACTTTTTCCCTGCTTTTCTAGATTCTGCAAGCTCACATTCTAGCTCCTCCTATTTTCTTGCTATCTTTTCTCTGACTTATTTCTGTTTTGTGATCTTCCTTCATCAAGAATTGCTTCCTGTAGCTTTGAATTTTATTGGAAAATATTTAACCAAAATTTCATATGCACCAGTGGCAGTATTTTTCTACAACTTTCACATGGTAGTAAGTTTTTCTACCACTGTCCTCACTTTTTCCTTGATTCTTAATTGATAGATAAGTCTCAGATATGTGACTGCTTTTCTGATGCCCATGTTGGATGCTTTGGGTTTCCTGGACCCACTCTGGGCTCAGGGTTTGGAGGTGAGGCTGAGGTGGGCATGGCAGGTAGTGTCTGGGGGCCTTTCCATAGCCTTATGGCTTTCTTGTTCTCTACTGCCAAGAAACCAAGTCTTTAAATTTGGCCCATCTCTCTGATATTTTATGTGGGTCTGGCTCCTGCCTCACATCTGTACTTGCTAAGAAATGAGGATTTATCCTTCTTTTCTCAGTGTCAGCACTTACGAATGGACTGTCCTTGTACTTCACACTGTAACTTCCGGCTCCAGAAGCAGTATGTTTTGCTGAATGTGCCACTCTGTTTCCCCCTTCACTTCCTCCCACTTGGCCACTCCCTTATTTCAGTTGCTTTGGGCAGCCTTTAAATATATTTAGTAACTTGCAGATGGGCTCTATAGGAAATGAAACATATGGGGTAGCCTGGGGTGCTGATGCTGTGAAGTGCCAGTCCAACCCTGGACATTTCCAGGAGTTCCCATGTGGATACTAAAGTCTAGCTTTAATTTTCATAAAGGATGAAAAAGATTGGACCAAAACTAATTTCTGAGTACTCACCAAGATGCCAGAGGCATAGGAACTTGTCATTTTCCCCACTCTTGTTAGTAGAATCATGAATTCGAGCTCATTCTTGATCTCTGCCTCCACAGTCCTTTGGAGAGTGTGGAGAGGATTCTCCGTGGGGCTGGCTGTTGGGGTAGATGTGGCTGGGCCAGGCTGAATGAGGAGACTTTCCCCGCCATGGGTGACAGTGATGCAGCTATGAAGGCAAATGCTGAATGGCTTGGTAATTAATTAGAGAGATTGCTGTGGGAGTGGTGTTGGGGGCCTGTGGACCCAGGCAGAGCAAGCAGGCAGAGCCCATAAAAGTAAAAAATAAAATAACAAACAGACAACAGAACTGTCACCTGACTGTATTAGAAATACTCCATTCATACAAGTCTGCTCACACAGCTCCATGCTAATTGGTGATTTTCTGAAGAAGATAGTACTTTCCGGGTGAAAATTTGAAGCAGTCACCCCAAAATCACCTCTTGTTGGCATTGATCTCAGCACCGCTTAAATAGCCATTTTATAAATTTCAAAGGCTCCATTTTGGAGCAGTGCCAGATGATTATCCTGCCTAGGTCATGCATCCATCTTGATAGGGGGCTTGGTGCCTGCAGTAAGGTTCCCGTGGGGGAGATTGCTTAGTCCTTCAGTAGTAAACACTGCCAGCACTTGGTTATAAAATAAAATAGTCCAGTATCTTAGCAGAGCAATTTTCTACCCAAATAAAGACTGTCCTTCTGAACCTCCACTACAGCAAGGTGGCAGATATGACCAGTGATTACTAAGTAGACACGTTTAGTGGTATTTCTAGAAGTTTCCTTAAAACTCGAGTTCAAGGAAAAGGACACAGTATTTAGTAATGGTGGCCCACTCTGTACTGACTCCCAAGAAGTGTCCAGGGCAAGGCATGACAGACCTTTTCTGTTTCGGGCTGGGTTATTGGTCTCTCCGTTGTCTCAGCTCCACTCAGCTCTGCCCTTTCAGAACAACCACGCTGAGCCAGGCCACATTCAGGCAAAGTGTTCAAGTTGGATGGGACCCACAGGCTTCAAAGTGTGTGGACCCTGATCTAGGGGAGAGGAAGGTATAATTGTTTAAGCCCCCTCCCAACAAATTCCAGAATCCTCTGCTGGGAGTTTGTCCCTTTCTGAGCATCCTACCCACTCCCCTGGGTGGTGACCCCTGGACAGTCACCTGAGCTTGTTTGTCAGTCACCTGCTGACCTCAGTTTATTTAAAATAAAAGAAATGTTGCTAAATAGCCCTAGAGAGCAGGAAAAATGTGATGGAGCCAAATGTGGTGATGCACACACTAATCTCAGCACTTTGGGAGGCCAAGGCAGGGGGATCTCTAGTTCATGCCCAGCCTGGGCAATTTAGCAACCGTGCAAGACCCTGTCTCAAAATAAAAAATGAGAGTACTGGTGATAAAGCTTATTGCAAAGGCCAGGGGTTCAATGCCTAGAACTGAAACAAAACAAAACAAGAACGGAGACCCATGCTAGGACTGAGTGAAGCACAGAGGGGACTCCCAGAGGTAAACAAGGTGGCAGACAAACTGAGTATCATTCTTTGAACAAGAAAAGATCCCAGGATATTTCGGGGAATCCCGAAAGGCTGAGCAGTAGTTCCTAATGTCAGGCAGGTGGAGAAATATAGAGACAAAGGGCGTTTCGCTCCAGCGTGGTTCAGGCTGCTTCCCAGGGTCTCCGCACTCAGTCTGCGGCCGCTGACCTGGCAGGGGGTTTCCCATGGCTCAGAGACGGAATGCGCGGACGGATGTGAGGCCATGACCCAGTACGCGTGGTGCCCTGTGCCAGTAAGCTAGATGAAGTTGCGCACCCGCGTGAACGTTGACACCACCTCCTAGCCCTCCGCGATATCGGGTCCTCTTCAGTCTGACTTCACGCAGTCGGAGGAAGAACGCTGTGAAATGTATGTGTCTCCTCCTCCTGTGCAGTGGCTCATGGCATTTCCAGCCCGGCCTGCACGGCAAGAGTAAAGCCGTTGGGGACGGTCCTGTCTCCACTGCCCGTGCCTATGGAGGCGCAGCCGGCTGGGGCACCGGTGAGTTCTGAGGTAGAATGTGAAGTAGGACAGGTTGGGTTTAGGTCTAAGACCGACCCTGCTGAGAGTTCGATTTGAACTGATTTGTATCTAAGTATCGCTCCAGAAGGGTGCCGGTGAGAACTCTCCCAACAGTGAGGTCCCCACTGCACTGCTCCCCAGAGGGCTGCGGTCCTGTCCTTGTGGTTGCAGGCAGGTTCCCGCGTCCCTGATCTACAGGTCACTGGGGTGACGACCACCTCTCTTCCCCTCTACCCAGTCTTCTTCCTGGTTATGTTCCATTTTGTGACCTTTTACTTACAGTTTTTAAAAGCGAGGTACAAGTGGGAATGGGCAAACACTTGTAATCGTGTATCCTCGAGTTCTGAAGGGAGTCTTTCACCGGGCCCCCTCTCAACACACCCAAGCCAGATTTCCTGGGTCAAAGAGGTCTTGTTTAGGATGCCCTGGAGTCAGATCTGCAGACTGCTCTGGGACTGAGGCAGGGCTAAGGGCCAGAGCCCTCTGCTCCGGGGCCTTCCAGCACCTCCCCTCCCTGTCCTCCTCCCGCCTAGTCTGTGCCTTTCCCGGCCCTCCCCTCCCCACCGCATACACACACTAACCTCTGCCTCATTCTGAATGACCTGCAGTCTTTCTGACCCAGTCTTCTCCATTATCCCAGGACAAATTCAGGAAGGAACCAGTGTACTCAGTGGCATTACCTCTTTGCACAGTCCTTTGCACCAGGCTGCCTTCTGGGGTTCTGGGGAGACTGGACGGGCCACTCTTGGGTCAGGAACCCACTGTGGGCCTGTCAGGGGCCACTGATAAAACAGCCCAGCCCCACTTTCTACAGCGACTTCAACTGGAAGGACGGGACATTTATTTGAAATCAACACCCAAAGGCATCTCCCTCTTGCCCAGTCACTCCTCATCTTCTCCCAGTACAGAAGTCTCTGTGGCAGCTCCTTGTGGGTTCATTTGTATCTTTTATTCTTTGCTTGCATTTAAACTTCCCTAAGCTGTTCCACTTAACAGGAACCCCTTAGGGGCCCATGGCAGAGTAGTCACTATGGCTTGAGTATTTGAGTTCCTCCCAGGTTCATGTTGGGGCCTGATACCTGTTGTGGGGTCCTAAGCGGTGAGGCCAGGGCAGGTGGTTAAGTCTCCAGAACTCTGCCTGTGTGAGAGACGAATGCCATGTGAAGGGGGCTCCAGAGAGCTGCCCAGCCCTGGTCCTCTGCATGCATGCAAGGGAGCAGCTTTTATTCCTTCTCCCTTTCAGCCCTCTGCTGTGTGAAGATGCAAAACAGGAACCCCCTGAGAAGCACAGAGCAGCCCTCACCATGAACAGACTCTACTGGCATCTTGATCTTGGGCTTCCAACTTCCAGAGCTGAGAAATCATTTCTATGGCTTATAAATGGCCCTGTTTACAGATATTTTGTGGTAGCAGCAGACATGGACTAAGGCAGTGGCTCATCCTTGGTGTATGCTGTGGTGGAGGGGGTCTCACCCATAGTGTTGGATGGGTGGTTGATTGATGGGTCCTTCCTTCCTCAGAGGAGTGCCTGGCAAATGACTTGAAATAGCTTGTGATGCAGTTGGTAGGGGCAATGTAATTATTTAGTGGAAAAAGTTTAGATAGATACTTGGAAGCCATGAGTTGATTCTTTTATGTATTATAGGGGATTGAACCCAGAACCTTTACACTGTGCTACATCTCCCCACCCCTTCTTTATTTTTTACTTTGAGATAGCATCTCACTGAGCTTCCCAGATCCGGCTTGAACTTGGAGTCTTCCTGCCTCGGCCTCCCAGAGAACTGGGGTTACAGACGTGTTCCACCATGCCTGGCTCCATCCTGACTATTCACACATGTGATATTATATTGGGTTCTCCAAGTCTCATTTCCCTCCTGTACCACCAGAAGTAGTACTTTCCTTAAGCAGTAGCTATGAAAATTAGATGTAGCTTCATATGCGAAATGCTTTGAAAATTGCACAAGTTTTTAAAGAAAAATTGTTAGGTATTGCAATAGAAAATAATAACTTCGACCGCCTATCTGGCTTGTTCTTTAAAATAGAGAACAACCTTGGCAGAGCCAGGAGTCATGGATTTGGCAGCCAGATGCATCTGGCTGGGGAGTTGTGGTAATGAGGGGAAGCAGAATGCAATTCGCAATAGAAGTGTTACTCTGAAATGATGCATGTTCTTCCTGCAATGTGAGGATAAACTTTTAATCAGAAAAGGAAGAAACACTCTGCAAATTGACTGAGGTGCTGGTCAGAGAGCTCTGCAGCCAGTGTTGGGAAGGTGCTGTGCACGGTGCCACATGGGTTGGCATCTCTGGTTTGCAAATCATTCCTGGTCTTGTTTCTTCTGACAGAGCAAAATCAGTGCACTTGCCTGACCTTCAAAATTGGCTGGCAGTGGAAAACCAGTGGCAGCTAATCTTACGAGAGCCCTGGACACGGGAAACTGGTCAGAAGTTTGTCCCTGTGAAATTGACAAGGTGTGGTACCAAGCAGATGCCCAGAGCCAGCCAGATCTGCCTTAGAACTCTCCTGGCTCCTGGCTCCTCCCCTCCTTTGCCATATCTATGGCAAGGCTGACGTCCTGGGTAGAACTTTTGTTGTGGTTCAGACAGCAGAGAAAACAATTCTCACAAATATTTTTAGTTAGCCTGGATGTTTGTTTTTTCCTACCCTTCCTCTTCCACCAGCCTTCTTTTTCCAGCTTTCCAGAAAGGGTGCCTGTCGCTACTGTCACATGGCAGCCCTGTTTGCTACCAGTGTTAGACGGATGAAAGTGCAATTAATTCAGCCCCTGAACACCTTGTTTGCCTGGTCCCCAGAGCATCACAGTTGGTTGAAGGATTCTTTGGTATTGCCTTCAGGGCTGTCCCATCCAGGCCCCAGGAGAAGCCAGGAGAGAGGCCGGCACCTAGCCATTCATCTGCAGAGACCTGCCCAGGTACACAGCTCCGCAAGGGGTGACATGGGAGCCATGCCCTCCTCTGGGAGTTCTCTGTATGTTACTTTCACCAACATCCTGGGTTCTTGTCTGTAAAGTACAGATCAAACCCTTTCTTTCCACCATGCAGGATGCTATGGTTTGCTTGTCATTTGTCCCTGCCAAAGCTTGGTGGGACACTTCTTCCCTGTGGCAGTGCCTGGAGGTGTGTGGGTCCCAGAGTTGTGGCCCACCAGGGTGGATGAGCGCTGTCTTCCAGGGCTGAGTTCTGCTCTGTGGGACAGAGTTCCTCACTGGGAGAGCAGATCCTCGCAGAGCAAGCCCTGCTTCCTCAGCCTCCTCGGCCTTTCTTGTCACGTGGTCTCTTCCGCTCACCTGCTTCCCCTCTCTTTCTACCATGCCTGGGGAAGCAGTCGCCTCTCACCAGGTGTGGTTGACAGGTCATGAATGCCCCAGCCTGTAGAACCATGAACCAAAGTAAACCACCTTTTTAAATAAATGCCTCAGCCTCAGATATTCTGTTAGAGCCACAGAAAACAGACTAAATTACAGAATGAGTAGCTGCCATCCTGGGATGGTTCCCTCTTCCTCCCCTGACAGCTGATCAGATTAAATAAAGCAAGTTAAGGTGCACACCAAGAGTCACCTGAGAGGGGAAAATAAGCCACAGAGTCCCTGGCAGAAATGGGAGGAGGATGAGTCCCACCCTAGCACGGGGGATGATTAAAAGCCAGATACTGAATTGTTTTGGGGTCTTCAGCTTTGTTACCCCAGTTCATAGGGTCACTCATTCATCCTGCTGCCACCCAGATTTGATGTCCAGAGACACCATGGGAGGCCTCTCCATTCCCCTGTGCACCCCAGTGATGCTGTGGCATTTGTATCACCCGGCTCGGCCGTGAGTGTCCCTCGGCCCTCAGAGACAACGTGGGTGTTGTCTTAGGAACCAAGAGATTTGTGAATTCCTGCGCAACTGGACTGTGTCTTAATTATAGAGCTGGATGCCAAGTCTCTAAAGAAGAGCCTGTGATTTGTAAGGTTCTCAAGGATATTCAGGTGCCATCTAGCAAAGCCAGTCTTGAGAAATACACATTTCTGCACAGCATAGGAAGGTCTGGCAGATAGGGTCTCCCCTTGCTGATCTTCTGAAAGACAGTCTGGGCACCTGTAACAAAGAAAGTTAGGGCATGACTCACTCACACTGTCATCTGCCTGGGAGCTGGATGGTCACTTCCCTAAACTTGGTGTAGCTGAGGTTACAGCCAGGAGGGTGCACTGAGGTGGCAACAGAGATGGAGCAGGGTTAGCTCCAGGATGGGGACTGACAGTACACACAGATGTTAGCTGGTGGCACCTGCAGCACTCAGGGCCCAGCAGTCTGGTCCCCAGGGGAGAAAAGTTCCTATGGAAGGCTTAGTTACTGAGGAATGTGGAGACCAGTTCCATGGGGTGTGGGACACTGATGTCACAGCAGAGTGGTCCCTGAGACCACCTCAATACCCCACTGCTAGCTGCTGGCCTCAGGCCCCCAATCATCTCATCCTGAGAGCTGAGATTGAATGTGGAGTCCAAAATGTGACTGAATCTAAGAGGAGAGGGAGGTAGGGATGGTGAAGTTAGAAACTCTATGGGCCAGCCTATCTTTTCAGCAGCTTCCACTTGTTGTTTTGTTTTGTTTTGCCTGATAGTCTGTGCCTTCACAACTCTCTATTCATGTGAAATTTGGAGCCAGGGAAAGTGTTGTTATGGTAGGAATTTAAATGGGCGTCTAGCAAGGAAAATCAAGGTAGAATGTTCCATGAGATTTACAGGAAGAAGAGAAAGACACCACAAGGCAACTGAGAGGGTGCACCAGCCAGACACTTTGGAAGTGAATCCACTAGGTTTAGGGTACAAATGAGGGCTCCTTATGTTCATGCTCAGGTAACCCCTTGCATCACATTACCCACTCACAAGAGTCCTAGCCTCCTGCAAACCCTGCTTTAGGTATTTCTGGAAGCCCCACAGAGTTGCGCAAACAAGGTTACACCTCCATTGTGTTCATTGACCCCCTCTTGGTCCCAGGGGTACGCCCTGGAGGCTGCGGAACCCTCCCAGTGTCCTGTGGTGTTTCAGTCTTGCACAGAGAAAGGTAAATTGATCAGAAACACACATAGTATACATTTCTTGAAATTCTGTAATGATAGTGGGATAAGTATTTCTAGCACATTCTTTTGTTAAAGTGACTGTCCCATTGCATTGTATGCATAGCTCCTTCTACTACTGTACTGCAAATTACCATCAAGTACGAGATCTTTAGATTTCTACTATATATGGGATGTGTAATATCTTAAGCCTTCAATACTCATTTTTGATGAATGAATGCTACAGAAAGAGAAATTCCAGCAACAACACACATTATGTCATGACCTGACTTGTACAGGCTGAGAGCTGCCTCACTTGGCAGCATCTTCCTGTTGGATGAGGATGCCTTACTGTGAGTCACGCTTCCAGGGGGCCACAGAGTAGAGTGGGTAATGTTCCTTAGACACAAGACTTGCTGTGGGATGTCAGGTTCCAAGTAAAATGCTGATTTGAAAATAATTTGGTTCAGGCCAAATGTTCAGATAGGCAAAGGGAAATAAGTGAGAAAAAGAAAAAATGATTTTAAGAAGGGTTGATCATTTCCTATACAAAATATAGTTTGAGATTGAGGATGCATCTCCGTAACAGAGCCCTTGCCTGGCCTGTATAAAGCTGTGCATTTGAGCACCACCAAAAAGCAAGACAAACCAAACCTAAAATAAAGCAAAAAAGTTTGAAGTTCCATATTTTTAGGTTGGGAAAACTGGAAGAAATAATTTATAGTTACCTGAGAAAACCCTTTCTGAATAGAAGAGGGAAGTCACAGAGTTGCATAGAAATTGAAAGGGTTAATTTGTAACGTGTTTGTTTGTTTGTATATTTGTTTGCCACAGAGGAGAAACAAGGAAAATTTTTGAAGGAATTGTCTTAGTTACTTCCTGGGAGAAAACACTGACACCCAAAGTTAATGGAGAAGAGATTCATTTCAGCTTAGACTTTGTAGAGGTTTCAGTCCGCATTGGCTGGGTCTAAAGGAGGGCAGCATGGCAGAGGGCATCACAGAGGAGAAACAGTTCCTGGTGGAGTAGGCAAGAGGCAGCAAGGAGCAGCAGAAGTAGATGCAGCGAGACTCTCTTCTTTCTGTCCCTTTATATTTCATCTAGGCTATGAGCCTATTTGTTAGTGTCACACACACCCAGGATGGGCCTTCCATTATCCACAGCCAGAACTATGATAAATCAATTAATAGACCAACCCAGTGTAACACACTCTTAATGCTAGTCTCACACTCCCTAAATCCAGCTACCTCTGAAAAGCCCCACCTATGACAGCGTGAAGCTTTGGGGGACATCTAGATAGAAGCCATAGCAGGAAGGAAACAGGGAAGTAAGAAAAAAGTAAGCCAGTCTGTACAGGGAAGACAGAGAAACTGGGTTTTCTTTAAGATTGAGTTTCCGTACCACTTTGTGCCCTGGCCTTCCTATTTAGAGTAATGACAGAAATGGAGCCCTGGCATGGGCTGCTAACATCCTCTTCTGAAGCAGCTGCTTCCCTACATGCATGACTAACAGGGACAGGACACATCCATATTGTTATGGACTCTGCCTCTTTGTCCAGTTGATTGGTCCAAGAGTGGGCACCTAGCAGAGCTGGACACATAAGACCTTTTCTCTGAAATGTTTGGATGGAAAAGCAAAGAGAGTTTGGGTTGTTCCACTGGTGGCAGAAGCCAAGAGAACCTAGGAACTATCACTCTTTGTTTACTGGAGGGGAGAAGTAGGAGGAAAACAGAGTAGGTGTGGAGAGAAAGTACAAGCATTTTGGAGTCCCTGCTTCCATGGAGTTCTGGGGCCCAGCTTCACAGCTTGGTTGCCTAACTTTTCCTCCATTCCCGAAGTGGTAATCCCTTGTTATGAAAGCTGATTTGTTTTAATTTGCATCTCTCAGATGACCATGAATAGATACAAAAAAGATGTGTTTTTGTATACACAATGGAGTATTACTCAGCCATAAAGAAAGATAAGCTTCAGAAATTTGTAGCTAAATGGATGCCACTTGGGACCAAACTCTTAAGTGAAATAAATCAGATACATGTGAGAAACTGAAAGGGTAAATAAGGACCAAAATGTATAATAGATAATATGAAATAGGAAGAAGCTGTTCAAAAGGAAAGGGAAACTGTGAAAGGGGGAGAGAGGAAAAGGGAAAAAATTAATAAAAGAAGGGAGGAATTAAAATTGGGCCCTTTCCTCTCATTTGGAATGGCTAAAAGTTGTCATCACATCAAGTAGTAGCTGACCACTTATGGGTGAGGCACTATGCTACCTACCTATGATGTTTATGGTCAAGAGATTAAAAAATGCTTTTCTAAAAAAAATAAACACTTGTTCTCGAGGTACTCACAGTCTGATAGGAGGTAGAGACACCAATATTTCCAGGCCATTGTGGAAAGGACCAAAAATGAGAGATATTCTGCCATTATTTCAAATAGGAGCAGCACCTTACTTTGCCTTAAATGCATAGTAACTTAGAGATGGTTCCACTGAATCTTGAAAGAACAAATAGGAATTCAGTGTGGGAGGGGCCTGTAAGTTCCAGCAGAGTGGAGAGCATGCACAAGACAGGAGGACAGAGATGTGCTTTTAAATTGGTGTGGCTGGTGCACAGCAAGCATGAGGAGTGGGAGAAATGTAGCTGGAAAGTTCAGGAGGGGTTAGGCACTGGCTTATTGCATTTTCTGCATCTAAACGGAGCACCTGAGACTGGGAAATTCATCATGAGCAGATTTATTCATACAGCTGCAGAGGCCGGGAACTCTTAAGAGCAGGGACCCAGCATTGTGCAGGAGCTTCTTCTTGTATCATTACATGGCAGAGGGCATCGCATGGCATGGTACTGGTGCGTGCTGGTTCCAGGTCTGTCTCCCTGTAATCCATTATGAGGGCCTCTCCTCTGTAACCTCATCTAATCTTAATTACCTTCTCAAGCCCCACCTCTATGAATTTGGGAATTAAATTTCTAGAGCCTGAATTTTGGATGACACATTCAAACTATAGCAGAGGAACTGTATTCCTCTACAAAAATGTAAGCTTCTACAGTAGAAAACATGGAGGATCACTGAATTAATCCAACTCTTTGCAGCTTTTAAGCAATGACCTGTCTTCCCTACAGTCATTATTGTCACCCAGGCTTAAGATCTGAGGCTGGGAGACAAGTCAGGGCATCTTAATGGTCTGAGTGAGGAGATAAGAGTCTGAACCGAGAGCATGCCAGGGCTTCCTGGGAAGAAGTTGACCAATTGGGGTGTTCAGTGGTTCAGGAAAGCTGGCCCATTCAGGGAGGAGGTTGTCAGCCATTCTGCATCATTTTCGGGGAAAAATCATTTCACAAATTTTGATCAGGCCTAATCTTTTTGCCTACAGGCCAGCTATAACATGCTGAAACATAATAACTCCATTTTTGCCTCTAGTCACAGCTAAAACTTCACTAGTCCCATGATGCTGTGACACTCAAGGGCAAGATTACATTAGCTGAAGACTTCCTGGTTCCTTGAGAACCGGTAATAAAGGCAAGATTTTACTTGGGGAGGGACAAATTCCTTATCAGCTTAACTCATCCCACCTGTTATAAGAATGTCTTTGCTCATTTTACTGTCCTAATCAGCATAAGATCCTCATGGACCTACATGGCCATAGGATTACTGCCACCCTCCAAGGCATGTGATACTTCCTTTTATTATAAGATCCTTGTCAATTTAGGATTATTGCTGCCCCCTGAGTCATCTGTTTCTTCCTATGTACCCGATAAATAGTGGAAAGCTCAGGGTGCTTTCGTCTTTGCTGCCCAGAACATCATTGATCAGGCCTAGAACCCAGCCTCCTCTCTCAAGTCTCATTTCCTGTCTTTACTCTTTAATTCACCTTGTGCTGTTGTGACTCACAGGAGACCAGGGCCCACTGCAGGGGTTCTGGTAACGTCCCCTTTCCCTGATTCTACAGAGATCATGGAGACAAAGGATCTCAGCATGGCTGATGCCTGTGTGACCAGGAGGGTGGTGTTTGAAGTTGAGGTGGGGTGAAGTAGGTGGAAGGATGCCCTGGTGAAGATTGGAAGATTATGTGGTCACTTCTGGACTTCCAGAGTCTGAGGGGGGACACAGGAATATTGCCCTAAAGGCTCATGGGAGTGGTGGGAGTTAGCATGTGTACTTGAGGACTGGAGTCTAGTGCAGGGAGGGTTATTGTAAGACCTAAGGCCTTACTATCTTTCTGAGGAGCTCGATTCTACCACTCCAAAGAGCTCCA